AATTTCTTACATTGAACACATGTTGAAATAATACTATTTTGGATGTATTGAGTAAAATAAAATATATTATCAAAGTTAATTTCACTTGTTTCTTTGAACTTAACTCAGGCTACTAGAAAATTTAAAATTACATAGGAGGCTTGCATTTGTGGCCTGCATTATATTTTTATTGGACAGAGCTGGTCTAGACAGTCATATTCAGGAAGGTCAGAACAGCCAGGTCCCTCCATCTTACACAACCCCAAGCAGCCTGTTTGGTTCAGATGAGAAGGAGATCCAGGATACAGTTCTCCCACGGACACTCCCCTGGGGGTGTCCGGCTGTTTTGTGGCCCTTGACCTCCTCTTTCAAAAGCTGTATATTTGGGTAGAGAAGACATTTGTTCCTGGGAGATTGGGAACAGGGAAGATTTGACTTTCAGGAATCAGTGCACATAGGTTGGGGGAAGGAGGGTGGAGAACATTGGGTTGCTACAACAATGACTTACTGTTGAAGAATAGCAAACTAATTATCACATTACAATCCCCTCAGCCTACCACGGTGGGTTATTAGCTTCCTTGGAGGCTCCTTTGAAAAAAGAAAGAAAGAAAAAGAAAAGATTCCTTCCCAGTAACTAGCTGATTTTGTCCTTTCAATTCAATTCAACTGGGGGGTAGTTGCATAAAGAGAAAAATTAACAAATTAATGGCTAAAATGGAAACAAAGAGACACACAGAGAAATGTCTTCCTTTAGTTTTGAAGCCAGGCTTACCTTTGCCCATCAAAATGGCAAGTCCTGGGTTAATCAAAATGGGACACTGCACAAACTTTCTTCCAACATCCCATAGGAGCCTTCTGGGCTCAGGTTTCGTCTGCTTACCACACAGTCCCTTGCCCTACTTTAAGACAAACTTGGCTAATGGGACTTGGATTCTAAGAGTCCATCAGCTCTGCCCAGTGAGAATGAGAGTTCTTTATAGCAATATTATATAGACAATCAAATCCTTCCTTAACTCGAGTTTAAGGCTTAGCAACAGATATTTCATTTGGGGCAAACTCAATATTGGCAGGAGTGGGGATTGAACTGGAAGGGAATAAAGTAGAAGGATTTTGATTTATTCATGGGCAGAACAGGAAAGAGACAACTTAAGGACTAAGGAACAAGGAATCAAATTATGACACAAATTACAGACCAAATAGCATCAATTTACTACTAAACCTCAAGTCAAACTGAACCCAGATATTAACTGAAACATGAATTGGAATATACATACATATATATATATATTATATATATAATATATAATATATATATATATTAGAAAATCTAGCAAACTTGTTCAAACCTATATATTTTCTAATGAATTAGAACATCAAAACATTCCTTTAACTGAGCCAATGTTTCATTTGGTTTGAATCCCGGCTAAAGAGGAACATTTTTGGCTTTCATTTGCCATCAAAGGAAGGTAGTTAAAATTCTCTGGAAATGGCCGATCTTCCACAACCTTTTACTCAGGATGAATGAAGAAATGTGGATTCGTGCACAAGTCTCAGAGCCAAGACAGACTAACACAGAATGGAAACAGAGTGGTACTACCATGTACCAGAAAAGAACAAAAAATTTCAGCCCCACCCAATACCATTATTCTTTGGTTAAATGTATATTAACTTGTATATGTGCCTTGCTAACAGCTCAGGAAACCTTTACACTTTATGAAATAATTCTTTCTTAATATTTGTAAGGAGAAATTTATGCTAATGTGAGACTATGCATTGTCCATAACTCATCCTTATGGTTATCTGATTCTGATTCTATGGAAGCTACTGTACAACTGTGGAAATAACTGATAACAAAGGAAAATGATTTTTGTCTAGATATGCAAATTCTGTCTTACCCAAAATGGAAACCAAGCCTTGGAGAAGGTAAGAAACTTGTCCCCAGTCACAAATCTGGGAAGTGGTATAGCTTGGTTTTCTTAGCTCTCTCTTCCTCTTCCATATCCTATGCCCCTACACCTCCCAGCTTGGAATGGTCCAGAGTGAGGTGGGGGCAGAAAAGGGAAAGTGGGTATGTCGAATCCAAACTCTACCTAAAATACTGTTTTGCCTGACATTGGCTTTTTCCCCGTGGAATATTCACTGAGACGCTGCCCTAGACTTGGCCCTAAAATCCCATGGAATGTGCAGGCTTGTGTTACACGAACGTTTTTACACTCTGGGGCTGAAATCATGTGGAGGCTCTAAACACATCATCTGAGATGAGCTCAAACATTCTGGAAATTGTCACGAAGCCTGGCTAGACTACAGTTCGACTTCATTTATATTCATGAATTACCTGAAATGAAGATTTAAATTCTCTCTACTGAATATACCACCTTAGATTTTCTATTGGTAGGGAACAGAGGTGTTTATAATTTTGATATCTGCCAAATAAAGTCCCATTTTCCTACCTTAAATCAGTTACTTTGTTAATCTAGTGTGTGTGACTACAGCCTCATTCCTTCTCTTCAGCAAGGGAATTCTGAAGGAAGGAGATCTTGCCTGCCTAAGCCTCAATCAGGATCTAACTCCTTTCAATTTGGCAAATACTCATTGAGTCCTAATGCATTTCTTCTCTGTCTCTAATATCTTAAGGTCAGAGAAGTACATATTGTTTAGAAGTGAAATTCTATAGGTAGCATGCTGGGGACCAATTATTTGACATATGTTTAAACTGTGTTCAATTACAGGTGGTTGTGTTCATGTGTGCTGAGTAGCCCAACTGGATACAGTCTGCAAAGAGAATTTATTTACTTCAGACTGCTGCCACACAAGAATTTCTAACTAATGGGTTATGTGGTGGTTTGAAAATAGGTCCACGAATTCTTTGATACTCCTCCCTTCAAGAAATGGAGCCTGATTCCCCTCTCCTTGAATGTGGGCTGGCCTTAGTGACTGCTACTAATGAATAGACTAAAACAGAAGTGACTGCGTGTGGTTTTGAAAAGCAGATCATAAAAGGCACTACATCTTCTTCTTTTCACTCTATTGAATCACTGTCTAGGGGAAGGACTGCCAACAGCCTTCTTGGAAGTGGATCCTACAGTCCCAGTTGAGCCTTCAGATGACCATATCCCCTACTAATACCTTCACCTCAACTATGTGAGAGGTTCTGAGCCAGACAGACCCACCCTGCTAAGCCACCCTAGAATTTCTGACCCACAGAATCTGTGAGATAGGAAATGTCTGTTGTTTTAAGCTACTACATTTTAGGGTAATTTGTTCCATAGCAAGAGTTAAGTAATACAGGTTAGAGATCCCAGAAATAGCCAGACTTTATGAATCTTTTTTTAAAAACTTTTTTGGGGGAGAGGGAGGTAATTAGGTTTATTTATTTATTTATTTATGGAGGTACTGGGGATTGAACCCAGGACCTTGTGCATGCTAAGCACGCACTCTACCACTGAGCTATATCCTGCCCCCACCCCATGAGTCTTGATCAAATGTTTAAGGTCCATTTTTTGCAAGGCCCTGCTTAGAACCTGTACAAACAATTTTATTCTCAATCCAACTGTTAAAACCTAGGTCTTTGCCATTTGAGTAATATGAATTTGCTTGGGCAGATTCATGTGCTGTTCTGTACACTTAGCCAAAATGTCACCAAACACATGAATTTTTATTCCTTCAGCAAATATTACCTACAATGCTTACTGGGTCTCTAGTACCATGCTGGATGAAATAGATGCTCTTATGCATCTATTCTTCCACAGGCATTGTTTGAGCACTTACTAGGACCCAGGCACTGTGCTCAGCACTGAGGATAGAAGAATGAACATGACACCTTGCCCAGTATTTAGTTGAGGAAGTAAGTACATACAGATAAATACATTACAACACAGTGCAGTGAATATTACCCCAGAGATATGAATAACATGCTATGATATTGTGGAGAATGGAACAGCTACTTCTATTTGAGGTATCGAAGGATGAATAGAGTTTTCAAGCAAAGAAGAGTGGTGGGTTCAAAGGATGGCGTTCCAGGTGCAGGAGAAGAGAACGTGCAAAGCCATGGAAGTATGAAAAGCCCGAGCTGCCTCTTCACAGTTGAGTTCCTTCTGCCTGAGAAGAAAGAGATTGCTGCTGATATGCACGGTAGTGTGAGGTCAGCAGGACTGGCTGTTTTTCCAGGCCAACGGGTATTTCAAAGCTAATAGGCCACTCAAGCTGCCTCAAATTGAAGAAGTGATAAAGGGTGCCTGTGCTCTCTGCCCCAAGGCTCTCAGGCTAGAAGAAGTAAAAGTAAACCAACACACTGCTGCCTTTATCAATACAATCATGCTCTGAAAAAAGAGTCAGCCGAAGTAAATGGTTTGCTCAGTGGCATGATTTATTTACATTTGGCACAAACACCTAATCTTGTCACAAGTTGATAAATAGTTCATGGGTTGGCAGTGATCCCTAGACCACATTTTTGTAGATCACTCACTATCCACTAAATAAAATCCTCTATGACAAATCTCTTTGTATCCTTTCAGAACCTGGCCTATACCTCCTTGTCTCATTGCGAGAATAATGTAGTTTATCTTGTTTCGCTTTTTGGTTTGACTTCTAAAAAGTCCAAAGTCAAACTTGAAGCTCAAGGGCATCCACTACGTTGACATGTTGGGGTGGCTTTTGTCTTTATATTCTTGTTTTTCATTCTGATTTTCTATTTCACAATTATGTTTGATTTGACTATTTCATTGACTGTGCATTTGCTGGGTGATGTTGAAAATGATGGCAATGAAGACAACCATGACAATAAGCATTACAGCAAGCATGGCAAACAGGCCAGATTTCTGGTGTGCATCCACCTGAGCAGATTTGGGGTTGTAGCTGTGTCTCCATGACTCCAAACAAGGTCAACTGGTTAGTCTCTGAATTGATAGGATTGGTCTCATGGAGACACAATGGTGTTCATGAGGAACTCATTCCTCTGCATGCAGAAGGTACTGGCCTCTGTAAATGAAGTCAGCGTGCACAGTTAGGAGAAGAGCACTCACCGTCTTGGTCGTTACCTGAGTCAGCTGGAGACTTGCTCCGGCGCATGGGGCCAGGGCTCTTGGCTGAACTCTTCTGAGGCGTTGGGGACGCCTTTGGGCCAGCTGTGGCTGATGGGTTTCCCTTCATGACTCGGCATTCTGGTGGAAAATGACACAGACAGCTTAATAGAGCTGGGGAGAACCAAGACTCAGCATATCACCAACCTCTGGAAACTGGAATAACCACCATAGGTCAAAGCACCTGTGGCTAAGGACTATAAGGTGGTCTTCATTGTTTGAAGGAATAATTGTTCTGAAGAGGGAGGCATGGGAGAAACTTTCAAAATTCACCTGGGCTAAGCCAGGTATTTAAATTCCTAGATTATGGAAACAAGTGAAGGAGTAGAAAAGCAGCTTGGGTATGTAATTAAACAGTCAACTCAATCATTTTTGGACAACCCAAAGTCATGTCTCAGAATAGTGCCTGTCGACATAATTAATTAATTTCCTTGGAGAAGAGATTGACAGCTCAGAGGTTGTAGCCACACAGGTGAAACATTCATGTGTAATTTAAAGGAGGGGGAGGGAGCTACTGTTTATTATTCATTACATGCCATGTATGGTATTAGGCATAGTAAGGACATCATGTCATTTTATAAATAAGCACTACCACCACCACCACCATCTTACATTTATAGAGTTCGATTTTCGATGTACGTTATCATTATGCTGGTTTAATGAATAGTTGGCCAGCAGTGACTCTGCCATTCACAACTTATAGAGAGCCTGTGGGTGTGTGGGAGAGTCTGCCAAATGTTCCCGCTACTCCCCCAATCCCAGTCTGACACACTGGGAACACACTTTCCATGAGATCACTCAGCATCCCTAATATGGTAATTTTGGGCACTGATTGTACTAATGTATTAGGAGGATTATTATACTCATTTTGCTGATGAGAATACAAAGAGCTTAAGCCTCTTGCTCAGGGCCACAAAGCAAGAAAATATCAGAAGAATGGTGATCAGCCAAGTCTTCTGAGTCCCAGTCTAGAGTTCTTTCCACTATGCTTTTCCCAACCTTGTGCTGTCATGCTCAAAGAGGAACCCAACAGCTGGGTAGAGGGTAGCCTCATCATTGGACACCTTCTTGTCACTTTCTACTTAAAGATACCTAGAAAATACAAATTATCCAGAAAGATTAGGGGATCTTGTCTAGTAAGTTGTTTAGGAAACTGAGTTAAGCAGAAAACTCATTTTTGTTTGTTTTACTTCTTGTTTTGGCTGATACACTTTAGTGATCACTGTCCAGAGCTGGAGATGTAGAAGATACAGGAACTTGGACACATCCTAGGGTTTGTTTAGCTATTTTATGGCCATTTGCCTCTTCTCAAAGTGAACACAGCAGAAATGCCACCTCGTTCAGAGTCCCCGTCACTTGAGGTGTTTGTAAAGTCTGTATTAGTACAACTTGATTTGTTTTTTCCCCACATTTTACTCCTCATAATTGGCAAATATGTTTTTTGGGGGCAAATATGTTTTGAATGTGTCTTTCCATCAGGATCATATCCTAACCCTGTGGCTGTGTGAGCTAATTCACCATGAACTTACACATGGAGCTTGGACTCAAGCAAAGGGAGATGGGCAGATATTCACCTCCTTCCTGAGATTAATAATCTTCTGGAATCTTGAGTCACAATACAAGGGGAATGCGGCAGCAACCAAAAGGTGGGAAAAAGGAAAATGTCTGACACTAAGAACACAGTGGAAAATATTTCTAAAATGGAACCATTAACATGGGCCAAATAGCTGGAGGATGTTAACCAGAAAAAAATATATATATGCATACAATATCCAAGTTCTGACCCCAAATGTTCCTTCCTGTGCTCTGACTGAGTCTATAAGTCCATATGACACACTATATGGTTCAAGAAATATGGTCACTATTGGGGCAAATAGTGAGTTTTATTGAGTTTGGAGGCTGAGCATCTGAGATAGCCAATCAACTTTCACTTAGTGATTCATGTATCTAAACATACAGGAGAAAGGGACCATGCTTGGATGTTCTCCAGGCTATATGAACCCATGGAAATCCTAAGGAGTAGAAGAAAGGAGAACAACAAAATTTAGTAGTTGTCCTTACCATTTTCATCCAGAGAAAAGTCATCCTGAGCATAGCGAAATTTTTCAGGACCGCAGGCAATAAACACATCATCATCACCAAAGAAATCATGGAGGCAGGTTACCTACGGAGAAAGCAGAAACATTGGATTGATATTTGATGGTCTTGTGATGATGAACTTCATACGATGTTGGCAGGGGAGAAAAGCTGCACATCTGGGCCATCAATTTTAGCCCCCAGGGTTCACCTTTTTCTCAAAATACCAGGCTCATAGTCTGCACCTCAGCCCCTTGTGAGTAAAGATATACCAAGTGCCATTTTCTTTCCACATTTCATGTGTGATACCTTGTTCCCACTGCATCAAGAGTAACTTCAAGACTATGTCCAAATGGAACGTTCTCCTCTGAGTTAAAGTCAGCAAGCAGATGGCCCTACAAATGCTGCCATTCCTCAGAGCCTCAAGGACAGAGTGCTCCTAGCTCAGCTCCAGGGACAGAAGTATAGACCAAAGAAGATGAAAAAGATCTTCTGCAGCCTGAAGTGGACAGATTCTGGCTGACCAAGATGTGGAAGTTCCTCTACTTCAAGAGTTTTGAAAGAGGGACACCAGTTCTTAAACACTTTGGACCCACAAAAGTTGGACTTTTGCTAAAAATAGACCGAGAACCTGGTAGTGGCCCAGAATACCATTCTTCCATGAAGAAAAAGGAAGGGAAAACTGTCCTGATCACTTAAAATTTAATCAAGAGCAATGGGTCCCCGTAGGCTTGAGGCTCTGCTGGTAAAGCCATGTTCCCAGGATCCTTCCCGCCCTCTAGTGCCCTGTGCATTGCTGCTTCTCCACAATAGAGAGACAGTCTCCCCAACCCCTTTCTTACACAAAGAAACGAGGGTCCCTGGGAAAGTACGCTGCTCTCTGTAGTCTCCCCACTTCTCAGCTTTCCTAATTACATCTGATAATTAGTCCAGCACACCAGGGAAACCCCAGGAGAAACCACAGAGTCAAAACATTCTTACCCCCATCCTTAGCTTGAAAGTGTTCAAAGCTTCTAATTGTTCTAAGCCACCCATTTAAGCTGCCAGCAATGGCTTTCCAAAGGCACAGGGCTCACAAACTAACAACAGCTTGCTGGGTGCAGAGAGCAATATGTTACATTTGAAAAATGTTTATATTAATAACATCATTCCCCATCCAGGCTCTATTCAATCTCTGTTCCCCCGGCCAAGATGATTGCAAGCCTTACACAAAGCGAGACTTGCTTAAAGATTACTCCCATTGTCTCAGCCTCCCAATCATCCAAAGGATGCCAAAGAAGGGAGGGAGACTTGGAGGGCTGCCAAGTTCGCTTCTACTAAGCCTCTCCCCAGACTTGGGTCCTGACCTCATCAAAAAGGCCACCATCCTCCTTCAGCCCACTCATCCTCACCCATTAATTCCCCAATCATATAATGACAAACAGAGCTACCACTAATTGAATGCTTACTCTGAACAAGCACTCTGCTTAGTACTTCCAAATCTGTCATCCCATTTCACTCTCACAACAAATCCTAGAAGTCGGTATTCTTGTCATCACTACTTTACAGATGAGAAAACTGAGGTCCAGAGACAATACATAAATTACTCAGGTGGAAAGTGATGAAGCCAAATCAGTGTAGATCTGTGTGACGTCAAAGCCTGTGCTTTTGGCCCCTCAGTAATACAAAGCACTTACATATGGTTCAGACACTGTGGAGGCAAAGATGAGTAAGATTCAGGTCATGACTTCATGGAGCACATAATCTGATGGCGTGAAATACATTGAAACAGAGCATTTTAGTGTCGTGTCATGAGTGTTTGGGGTAACTGTAGGTGACATGGGACCTATTTAGCACCACATCCAAGTGATCCAGTCAGTAACTGGCATTATTAGTTCAATAAGCATCCTGTATATTGCCGTGGTAGTGAATCCAATGACAGAGGATACACATGGCTTTTAACCCTGCTGCAGATTCCCACTGACATCTTGGACCAGTGAAATTTGGAGCCCCTATCTTTGATACATGTGTGTCTCTGAATTGTATATGCCCTACTACCTCTTAACCCTAAAGATCTCTGCCATGCCCTCGTGTTCGGGTTGCCCCTGATCCTGACTGATCTCCTTTAGTTTTGGTCATAAGTGAGGGAAGCCTCACCCTTGGGCATCCCTCCACTAATGGTCTCTAGCATTTAGCACTTTGTTTCAAGGTATACCTGTATTTTCATGAGTACCCACCTAATACTTCCCATTAAATCACAGGTTTCCTGAATGTAAGACCAAATTTATGCCTCCCTCTATATCTCCCCATGGTTCCTGGTAGAGTGCTTAATCACATAGTGAGAATTCAGCCAGGGCTAAATTTTTTTGGCCTCAACTGAATGTAAAGGAAATAAGAAGGAGGTTTTGTAAGGGCATACAAAGGCAGAAAAGTAGAAAGAAGAAATCAATAGTGGCAGACAATAGGACCTAGCAGTCAAATGTTTTGAAAGGTAACACCAATATATAAATTTAGGAACAAGAAAGGAGAAAAGACTGTGAAATCAGAAGTTATTCTTTGTATAACTATGCCAATTAGTTTGAAAACAGATGAAATGGATCATTTTTAAAGGAAAACCTAAAGAAAGAAATTAGCTCAAAAAGAAATAGGAAACTTCAACCAACTACTAGCCATAAAAAGAATTAAGTAAATACTTCAAACAGCAATCCCTTCCCCCAAAGGTACCAGACCATTCATTTTGGAAGTATTTGTGGAAATCATTTCCCAAGAAGAAAAACCAAAAGCTCAAAAGCAGCCATCGCAGTGACATGCCATGCTGTCCCATTGTAAGACAACAAAGCCTTCACAGATTGCTCTGGGGGTTGCTGTTAGAATGACCCTCCCTCCTCCAACTCCAAGTCCCTCTGCCCCCACCCAGGCTTTGGGAAAAGCCTTTGGATAACCCCTTCTCGGGGAGCTTCTGAGAAGGGCAAAGCCCCTGTGCTTCTGACAAACTCACAATGCTGTGGCTGGCTTCAAACATATTCATTTTGCAATCCAGCTGTTTAGCATCAGGTTTCTTGTGTGATCCCACCCCACATTTTACTGGCTCCCAAATGTAGACAAATTCATATTGTGCATGTGGATACCCAGATTTCCCAAATGCCTTGGATATTGAGACACAACAGCCCTACCCTGCTCTGTGTCAGAGTTGGGAAAATAGAAAGCCCTCCATCTTAAAGATGAGGAACCCAAAATACAAGGTGTCTGAGTGGCAGAAAGATACACAGATGGACCATGGCAGAGTTCAGACTAGCTCTCAGGTGTCCTGATTCAGTTTGGAACAAAACTATTCAATTGCCTAAGAGAACATGCCTTCCGAAGTCCTGACTTCAAAGGCTTGTGTATAGCCTAGGCAGGAGAGTCACAACTAGTCCTCATCAATGCCCAATATGCATCAGAACATTCTGCAGGATTGAAAAAAGGAAACATCTTTATGGATCATATGCTTAATCTATGGACAAGAAAACTCCTATTCATTACTGTAACTGGAGAAGGAGGACAAAGAGAAGGAGTGGGAGAAGGAGGAGGAAAAGAAGAGGAATAAGGAAAAGAAGAATGGAGTGTAAGAAATAATTCCCAAATGAAACTCACACTCACACCTGCTTTTCAAAATTCCATGCAGTTCACATGGTACAAAATCCACCTTAGGTTACACTGCAAACATATAATTTTGAAAATCAAATATTTTAAAAAGTATTTTCATATTCTTTATATATTATAGATACAAGTCCCTTATCAGATGTCCCTTAGTTACTTACCCAAGAGAAATGAAAACCTATACCTACACAGAAGATTAGTTTTTTGTGATAAAATTTCTATTATGAGGTGGAAGCAAAAGTGGTAAAAATAATAATCATTATGATAGCGCTTACAGCATCCTCAGAGATTAAGGGTTTTGCTGACATCAGCTTTTGTATGAGACATGCTTGGGTATTTAAGTCAGAGAACACAAAAGCATGACACCTGTCTTTGTAATTTATCAACTGCCAGCACAAAAATCAATAAAATCAATCAACTCACATTAACACTGAACCATTAACTCAATGGTCTTCCTTTTAAAAAAAAAAACTGCAAGAGTTGGAGTAAGGGAAGCTAACTTGATTGTGCATTAGCGCAAACAATAGATTATATGGACCATCTAGTGGCTTAAATGTTGAAGTGCAAATGGGGAAATGGAGACAACAGATCACTGTTTGGGGGCAGTTTGAGTCCATTAGCTGCAAATGGCAAATTCACCCTGTGACTTGATTTAAGCTTGATTAGATTCTCCGTCCGCATATTACAGATGCTGGCAGTTAGTTCTCATATGTGCCTACTGCTGGTAGGTTCTACACACTCTCCAACTGTTCAGACAGCAATGGTATTTCAGGAAGTAAGGTCTTGCTTGCATATCTATGAGGCTCACTTTCAACACGCAAAATATTTTCATTGAAAGTTCAACTCTACTGATATTCATTCATAAAGCACTGACTATGGCAAAGGAGCAATGCGAGGGACAGACAAATGGACAATAAAAGGCCCCTGTCTTCACAGTTGACAGCATAATAAGGAAATCAGAACTACACACATAACTGGACTACAAGGCGGACTGCTGTTAGCACTATTAGAGAGGCACAAAGAGCGAGAGGAACACAGAAGACAAAGGGAACAATTCTAATTGTGAGAACTGGGGAGGGCTGCACAGAGAAGACGAAAACAAAATCTGAGTCTTGAGGGATGTGTGGGATATAGGTTGATGGAGACAGGAGTAAAAGGTATTATGGTAACTGCATAAGTAAAGGTGGAGAAGCAGGAACATGCCTTTTTCTTAATAGCCCTGGAAAAAAATTGCATCTTGTGGACTACAGTCACAGAGATTCTAACTCTCTATAGCACAATTGGCCTGGCCCATCTGCCAGCCTTCTGCACAGACAAAACATACAGTTGCCTCCTGGTGGAATTCAGGGTGAAGAGAAGGGCAGAGAGTGTCTATGGGGAGAGGAATGGCCCCAGTGGTGAAGAAGAGAAAATCTTGTGGCGAGGAAGACAAACCACACTGATTTCCCAGTCTTGCCAACAGTGTGCCCT